TCATAGGTAATCAATCAACAGAAATTCTTATGGTAAAGAAAAAATTAAAAGAGTAATCGACCCAGAGTGAAATGGACTACCAACATAAAAAACAGCATTCCAAAAAAATCTTATAAATCCAAACAATAATCCAAGTATATCCCTCATCTTATGAAGATAAAAGATTCAATGAAAAGAATGGAGGACGATAGAGATGCAGGATGTAGGAGGAACAAAACCATCACTATCATGGTTTTTAGGGATTTTTAGGATTGGAATTTCTGGGTTCATTTGAGGGTATCTTAGATACTAATTGGGTGAATATAAGCTGGTTTGAGAAGTTTAGAAGCTCCATAATATTAAAAATACCTTTAAAGATTTTCTAAAAATTTTATTATAAGAGCTTACTACTTGCCTAACAAATTCCTGATCAATTCAAACATGCCATCAAATTTTTTAAGCTCTTTAAAGAGTGTACAACCTCCTAGACCAATCATCCTTTGTGGAATCTAGAAAGATTCACCAGAAGACTTCAATTTCTTTTTTTGTTGACGGAACACTTTAGTTCTTTAGGTGCATTTTTCTGTTCCGGCTGCTAACTGTTAGCTGGGCAGGAGAAAATAGTTAAGATCAATTGACTGAGGCGCGGAATTCTTCATCTTAGCATATTTTCAAATATCAAGTATACAATATCAACTAGGTTTTCTTCTAATATCCATCCTCACTAAGTTTAGAAGTTTTCTAACATCCATGTCTGCCTGTTCGTCTAGATCTTGCTTCTCAAATCTACTTTCTTATTTACTCAAGCTATGCATCTTAAAATTGGCCCATCCCATGTCAGATTCGAGAGGTGTGCATGAAAATTACATCGAAGACTAGCTTCAAAATGTAATGGACCTAGAGATCGTGCAAGCAAACAAAATGATCTTTTGAGTAGAATGAATGCTTTCAATTCTTAACTAAACCTGACCAAGAAAAACAATGGCTAAGTATTTTCAGTCACCAAAACAATTGAAATGGGAAGTTATAAGTCCTGTATGAAGATTTCATTATCCTAGGTTGTTAAGGCTCAATAAGAAAATTCATTAAGCAAGTACCTCAGCATAAAGACCAAGAGAATTCCTTCGTATGACATCCTTCAGGTGTGCTCTCTCTAAGGCCTCCCAGAGGTCAGCATCATTATGTTCATTGAAAGGATCAAGATTGAATCTCACCGTTCCTAAAAGAATAGAACATTAATTTTTTTAAATAAAAAATAGAGCATAGGTTGAAATAATGTATAGTATTCTCTTGCTAACATGAATTTTTACTTCACTCAGGTATGAATGCTCAAAGTAACTTATTTGGCACTTTTAGCTCATGTTTTTACTTACCACAAGAGAATAAAAACTAAGAGTTGGATGCAAATGGTATATAATGGATATACATCTCAAGCCATTCAGTTGAACCAAAACAAAAACTTAAGTTTTTAATAGAAAACTTTTTGCAGTATAAGGTTGCAATTTTTTGCTTTGGAGATGAAGGTAGGTAAAACAAGAAAAATCCCCAAGGTCTTTTTCAGTTCAATTCTCATTTACTTCCAAGCTTATTCATTCACTTAGTTATTATTAAGAAACTAGTCATTATAGTTACGTGTACATCGCAATCTTCATGTTGAAATCACCTCCACTGTCACCTTTTTTCGGAGGTAGATTTTGAATTCCAAGTTTGAAAGAATTCAAGTGGCAGTGATGGCGACTTAAATATGAAGGTTATGATAGAGATTCAAACAGACAAATCATACAATCTTTGAAAACATGATTATTTAGTAATTAAGTGAACAAATAAGATAGAAATTGAATGCGAATCGAACCAAACAAATTGTCAAGGTAGAATTGGAACTATCATAGAAGAGAAAATATCTGAACATGGACAAATTTTATGACGGTCCCAGCATATTTAAAAAAAGGGAAAAAAAAAGAAGATTAAATGTTGTACCTGAGAAAAGAACAGGTGATTGTGGTATGATGCCAAGTACTTTACGCAGGTCCATCAATCCAAACTTTGTAATATCACAGTCATCAATCAATATTCTTCCTCTTTCCAGTTCCACAATGCGGAATAAAGCATTCAACATGCTTGATTTCCCAGCACCAGTCCTTCCAACTATCCCAACCTTGTCACTTGGAGAGATTCTAAAAAGACAATCCATGTAGAACTGGAGGAAGTTCAGGCCTGTAACGTAGAACAACATCTTCAAATTTAATTGATCCTGATGAAGGCCATCCTGGGGGAGGACGATTGCTGTCAATAATAAGTGGAGCTTCCGAAGGCAAATCTATATATGTGCCAATCCGCTCAACAGCATTTAGACTATTTTCAGCCAAACTTGCAAGTCTAAGAACACCTGTTAACAAACCCGTAATATTTAAAGCATAACTGAGAAGCAAACCCATGGTAGATGCAAAGGCCTGTTGGTTCTCTGCCCTTCCATTCTGCATGACAGCAAATGTTGCAGTGAACCAAATCATGATGCCACCTAGTGTTTCCAATCGGATTGCTAGCCAGCGATTTGCACTCATATTCACAAGAGTAAACCTGATATTATTGTCCATAGCTTTTCCATTAATATTAGCCATCCGATCATAAGCTTTGTATGCACGAATTGTTGACAGACCATTCAGTGCTTCTCCAAATTGAGCATAAACAGGTGATCTGGTTATAGAATCCATTCGCTTCACTTCACGAGCTGTGCTCTAAATTAACAAAATAGACCATATAAAAGGTTGTTCACTACTCCTTGCAAAGGAGAAAATTGCTGCAAACAAAAAATCTTACAAATATGGGCTCTCTACTTCAAATGCACAAGTAACTAGCTAGATTGACTCTAATAACCATTGAGAGAGGCTGTAGAATTAAAGAACAAAAAGAGTAAGTGCATCTATTTATTTTTTACATATCAAAATTCTACTGATGTGAGACAAAAATATATCAATTGGAATAAATTTTTTATTAAAGAAATCTCTTGTAATTACTATTATTATAATTTTGTAGTTATTCATGCTTATTTAAATTCATGTGGCCATTAAAATATTTTAGTTTCCTTTTAGTTAGGTTTTAAACATTATAGAAAATAGAACCTTTTAGATTTCCTCTTTCATAAGTTTCTATACTAGTTGATATTTATTGTAACATTTAGTTTCTTCTAGGTAAATAGTATAGGAATTAGAATCTTTTGTACTTCCCTTTTATAATTTTCTTATTCGTCGTAACTAAAGTATATACAATACACATATAAAGAATTAGATAAGGAAAGAGAAGACACGATCTAAATGATGATAAACTATCCTCCAAAATGAAAAAAACAGAAATAATTGTTACATCCACAACAAAGTTGAAGAAATCCCTTTGATGCTTAGAAACAGGAAACACCAGAAGGAACCATGTGCTTTAGCATAAGTGTACAATCCTTTCCCAAAAATTGGTCCAAGGGGAGACAACAGTATCAAAAGTTTAAAATTTTTAAACATCTCAATTCTTGCTACCCTTGGAAGAAAAACATGCTAGCAAAATTTTTGAGTGAAAGACAACAGGTGGTATGCAAGTAAATATATCACCATAACGTATTACATGGACAGGAAATATATGAATAATAAGGATAGAATTTTTATTACCTGATAATAGAGATAGGCCCCATAAAATAAAACCAAAAGTGGCATGATGGCCCACAGAGACATTGTGCTCACAATTCCTATCAAGACAAATGTAGAAAGAAGCTGTGACACTTGTCCTAGAAACATGTTAACAAAGACAGCCACACTTCGATCTATGTCTCCCAGATCCTTCGCGAATCTATTAATAATCCGCCCAAGAGGATTGGTGTGGAAGAAGACCATAGGAGCTCTTAGTATGGAAGTAAGCATAGCATCATGCAACCTTTTAGCTGCATAGAGACTTGAAATGATTAACCAATATGAATTGGTCAATGTAACCAAAACCTGAAAAATAAGAAGAAAAAGATTACTATAAAATAGACATAGTAAGACCAAGAAGTTTAAATAAATTCATACTAATTCTAAAAGCAAAAGTAAATTTTGAAAAATATTTGAATTCATTATTTAAAAACTTTTGGACAAATCCTGAAAGAGTAGAACATGGTTTAATCTACTTATAAACAAAAAGAACTCATACCTGACCAAATGATAGAAGAGCATAGATCCCATTGTAGTAACCAGGTCCATGAGTCTTTGTCGACCCTTGATCAGTCCAAGTACTCAACCATGTGCTACTTAAAACTCGTAAGAGTTCCGTTAGAAAATAGCATAGCAGAAGTATTGACACCACCCATGCACCTCCTAATGCATCCTTATATCTACAAAGATTGAAGGCTATTTATTAGAACTAAGGAAAAGAATTAGATATATTAGGATAATTCTCAAAACCAATTGTTTGCTGGTCTCTAACAATTCTGCAGAGGTGCATAAAAAAATGATAAATCTTCTTGTTTGCTATGGTTAACAATGCAAATAAAAACAAAGATTTGAGTTTGCGGTATATACATAACTATATGTTCTATTCTAACATACTTCTTCTTTCTTTATCAAAAAAAAAAAAAGATATACGTAATTGTACGTAAAATATGTCCTTAAACACGAGAATTAATTAACAACATTACCTCATTGCCACGCCCCAACTTACAACACCTGTTTCTCGTTCCTCCTGCTTAACGAGAACAGATTTTCCTTCTTTAGGTTTCTTTGTCTGGCTTGCATCCTTTGGCAGATCATTTGTTACTCCATTAGCAACAGGTTTTGAGGATTGATTATCAACCCCCTCACTCTCTCCCTTTTCTTCTCCATACTCTTCAATTTTTCCCGCATTTTCCATCAACCTTTGGAACAATGCACCATTATGAGAGAGATCCTCATAGGATCCCTCCTCTTTCACCCTACCTTCATGGACCAATATTATCCTATCAACCTGTGAAAGGAAGTGCAGCTGGTTTGTGACAAGAACCCTTGTTTTCCCCCTTAAGTCTCCCTTAATACATCTATCAAAAACCTGAAGACAATAAGTAGCTTAATTAGATGAACACAGTCTAATTAGAATGCATAATAGTGCCATCATTAAAATGAGAAGCCAACTGAACAGCTAACAATGTAGTAAAGAAAAATTACTAAACAAATATTAAGCAAATCTAATAGAAAAGTAAACACTAACAATACTACACCAATAATGGTACTGGTTCTGTAGAAAAGCAAAAAGAATTATTATTGTTAGCCAATCATTCAAGGAAACGAAGTTTTCAGAACTATGCACTAATAAGATAAGCAGAGACATGGTTTCCATTTTGTGGAGGATAGTTTTTATCTTGGCTTGGTTGCATATATATACATATATATAGACACGACACCAATATATGTAGATATTCATGATTTCTTCCCTTTGATAGAATTTGCAGCATTAAAGTCCCAGAGATTAGCTCATGAAAATCTTCATGATCAAACCAGGATCCTAATGCTTACAAACTTGAACAATAACAATGGACCACGGGTCATGATTATACTTTTCTTCCCGAAAGGAATCATGTGTATGCATACACTTATATGTTACAACATCATATAGAACTATAATCAAGAAAAAGAAAATGATAAGCAAAGTGAACTATGAATTTACCTGCCGAGCCACATGAGCATCCAAAGCACTCAGGGGGTCATCAAATATGTAAACATCTGAATTGGAATATACAGCCCTAGCCATGGAAACCCTTTGCTTCTGCCCACCACTAATATTCACACCTCTTTCACCAATCTCAGTGAGATCTCCGCCCTAATATTGAAGCAAACAAGCTACATAAGGAATTAAGTCCAAAATTAATAATATGGGACTTCTTCCCATCCTTAAAAACTCAGATGTAATATGTCGGCCAAGTGCAGATATTTACAGGCAGTAATTCAAGGTCATGTTGCAACGAAGTTACATCTATTGTTCTGTCATATCTTGCCGATTCAAAAGGAGACCCAAATAATATGTTGTCCCGTACCTGCAAGAAGGAATTCCAGATTTCACTCATATTATATGAGATTGACTTAAAACAAGATGGATGCATCTTGTTTTTTACTGGATCTAACTAAATTGAAGCCACACACTGGAACAATATGAAACATCCAACAGTAAGGATTCCATGAAGCACAGGGAGATGATATGGAGATTGGCAATAACCATTTACTAACATTCAGAACTTATGCAATTAGTAACTTACGGTTGCATTGAAAATCCATGACATTTGTGGAACATAAGCAACTGTCCCTCTAAGAACAACTCTAGCCTCTGATATTGGAGAAAGTTCTCCCAGCATTGCAGATATAAGCGAGGTCTTTCCTTCCCCTGTACTTCCAACAATTGCAACTAGGCTACCAGTAGGAATATCCAAATTGATATCTGATAATGTTGGAGTCTCTGCCTGGAAGAAAGCAAAACTAAATTTCCAAAGTAGTCCTCCAAGAAAGTTAAAGCATAGTTAAGAAGCTGCAAATATGTTAATTTGTTACTAGGAACATGAAAAGGAAAAGCAAAATGTCATATAAATAAGTAAATACATATGGTTAGTATATTTTATCAGAAAGCAAAAGAAGTTGTAGATTAGAAATTTAAGTATCAGAAAGCAAAAAATATTGACAAATTAGAGTTTTTGGCTACATAGAACAAAATTCCAAAATGTTACCCGAAACTAATCTATGGTCATAGCTAAAGAGACAAATATAAGATGAAATGTGAACTTCAATACAAGGGAAGTTAGTCAGAACAACTGGCCCCTGACAAAATTTGACACCATATAAGATAGGGACTTTAACAATTATTTTAATCCACACTTACATAGATCATATTCAAATAACAAGCTAAAAACATGCCCATCAGTGGCATTGATAGAATAACAGAAGATAAGTTTTTTAACACTGGGAACAAGCATGGGAACCAGAACTCTGATAGATTTGCTTTAAATTTGATATCTGTATTATAATGAGTTATCAGAAAGAATAAGAACTCAGATAGCACGTGTAAGCACATGCACTAAGGTATATTTGTTCGACGGGAAAAAAATAGGTGCAAGGTGATAAAAATTTTGATAAAGTACCTTTGAATCCCAAGAGAAGTTCCCATTTCTGATTGATATGGCCGGCAATCCTGGCTCAAGAGGAGGATTTGGTAAAAGAACTCTCTCATCAGCTAACAATAGCTCCTCCAGACGTTTTAACGACACATTAGCATTGACCACCTATCAAAATAAATCAGCATTATAAACTTAAAACAATTAACTTTTTCTTACATAAAAAGTATATCATATATATTAAATCAACGGCACCAAGGAGGTGTCACCAGTTTACAAAATATTTACAAATCAGTAATATACCTATGGTACTCCCTAGAAACATAAAAACAATCAACACAACTCGGAAACCCTAGTAAGAAACTAATTTCTTTTCCACAAAAGCCAATAGATTCCAATATCTCAACAAATACAAACTCCAGTAAAGATGTCTCCTGTACCCAAAATGGAACTGATCCCCAAGATATGAAAATCAAACTCTACAAAACA